CCTCTTCAAGGCTCCACCTTTCAGTTACCATAATAGGATTTCCCACCCTCTTAACAGTCACCGTGTGGGCCGAGTTTCTAATACATAAAACTTGGGCACACAATTCAAGCTTCACTGAGTTTTGGGGGACACAATTCAACCCACTATAGGGTGCCCAGACCCCCCCTTGCTCTACGTCTTGCAATCCTCTTCCTGAATGTCCCCAGCTGGGTCCCTTTCCCTACCCCCAGCCCTGATCCCTTCTCCACCCTTGACCCTACTCAGGCTCCCTTAGGTCCTTGGGCTAAAGCCCAGATGGTTTAAGGCCCCGGGGCAGTCTCAGCTCTGCCAACCCTCCCCACCTCCCACTTGTGCCCATGGGTGCCCAGCCCCAGAATGTTCTCCTCTGCTCCTGCTTTGAGACCTCCTTCTGAGACCGGCTGAGTGCTGCCACCTCCCGAGAGCAGACACCAAACCTGTGCTCACCCCTAGGGCCACCCCTGCCTCAGTTTCCCCCTCTGCAACCTTGAAAGCTCTGTGGCCTCTGAGGCAAAGAACCCAGAGGGAAGGGAGACTCCCGGAAGAGCCCAGTTCCCAGGTTGTGCATGTGGCCTGGATGGTCTGGGGGAAGGGATGGCCAGGTGCCCATGGAGGTGGCTGGGGGAGGTGTCTGGGGGGATGGGAGTGTGGGCAGAGAGCTGTGATGGGGGGCTGGGGGGTCACGTGAGATGTGGGGTGTGCCGGGCCTCGCTGTGGGGGTTGGTGGGGCACCTAGGAGGGAGAGCCGCTGCCCACCGTGGGGTGCGGGGACGTTAAGCCTGTTAAGGTAAAAAATATAGAGACAAATCTCTAAGAAAAACGTTGTATTTGGGAAAACAGGGTTGCAACATGAACACACACAAAGAGTGGGTGGTCTCCTGTAAGTCCAAAGAACAAAGAAAGGGTTGAGAGTTTTACTGAAAGAGAAATGCTACGTATTGCATTGAAAGAAAGCTCATTGTCACCAGCAAAGCTTTTGGAAGTTGGCCGGCTCCGGCTGGTGAGTGAAGGCAGGTCGCCCAGCAGCTGCCGGCTAACACTAGTCCTTGGGTGGCAGCAGGCTGTTTCAGCAGCTGGGTTGGTGGAAAATTCTTCTCGGAGCAGGTGCTATGTGCCCTGATTGTTTCCCGCCTCTGGCCTTTGACTCCAGTTTTAGTTTGGGTGTAAGAATGAGCCAGTTTGTATAACCAGCTTTCACAGTGCTCAGTGCCCTCCCCCGGAGCATGACTGGGAGGCAGGTACTGAGTGGAAGGGGGGTGCAGACAGCCCCTGGCCCTGTGGGGACATCCTAGTGAGTAAGTCACCATGAATGTCCGTGTGTCCGTGTGTGGATGAGGTGGGGGTGTCTGGGAGCCCACGTGGGTGCAGGCAGAGCTGGGGGCACCACAGACACCGGGGTGCTGGAGGGTGCCTGGTCCACGCTGTCCCGTCTGGCAGGATGGACCCCTTCGAGGACACACTGCGGCGGCTGCGGGAGGCCTTCAACACGGGGCGGACCCGGCCGGCCGCCTTCCGGGCCGCGCAGTTGGAGGGCCTGGGCCGCTTCCTGCAGGACAACAAGCAGCTTCTGCAGGACGCGCTGGCGCAGGACCTGCACAAGGTGGGCTGCGGGGACTCCAGACAGGGCTGTCTGTGTTCTTCCCGGGGAGGGGCTGCATCCTCTGTGGCAATCTTGTCCTTCCTGAGGAGGGTCTGTACCCCCCACCAGTGGCTGGCTGTGTCCCCAATTACTCCTGTTTACTTAACAGACCCTTCCTGGCATGTGGTGTGTGACAGGCACCTTACAACACTAACTCGTGAATACTCACAGCCACCTTGTGAGACAGCTTTGATGGTCATCCTCATGTTACTAGTGGGGAAACTGAGGCACACGGGGGTTAATTCACTCACCCAAGGTCACACAGCCAGGAAGTGGCAGACTGGAATTGGAGCCCGGGCAGCCTGGCTCCAGGGCTGGGACTCCCAACTGGTATGCATGTCCCACAGGGCTGCTGTGCTGTGCATAGACTGTCTTTATGTGTCTGGTAGGGACCCACTCTGCCCTCCCCAAACCCTGGACACCTCCTGGCCGGGCCTTGGGCCTGACCCCCTCGAATCCCACCCCACCACAGTCACCGTTTGAGTCAGACGTATCTGAGCTCATCACAAGCCAAAACGAGGTTGACCTGGCGCTCAAGAACCTGCAGGACTGGATGAAGGACGATCCGGCCAGCAAGAGCCTGGTGAGCCCTGCTGGGGTGGGGGAGGGCAGGGGCAGCTCTGACCCAGGCCCCTTCCTGCCCCAGAGACCCGGGGCCAATCCCTGACTTCCTCTGGACCTCATCTTCTCATTCGGGATTCCACGGTGCAGGGAGCTGAGGACCCCAGTGTATGGGGGGTGGGTTTTGGGGTGGTCCTCGGTGAGGGCTCACTGTCTGTCGTGTACCCCAGCTCACGAGGCTGGACTCAGCCTTCGTCCGGAAGGAGCCCTTTGGCCTGGTGCTGATCATTGCCCCTTGGAACTACCCTGTGAACCTGACACTGGTGCCTCTGGTGGGGGCCCTTGCGGCAGGTGAGGAGAGGGTCCTGAGCCCCGTGTCCCCCAGCCCAATAGTCCTTCCCAAAGACAGCCTCCAGAATACTGCTGTGTGGTGCCCTCAGCCTCACAGGCCCTCTGAGTCCACCCCTGGGTGGGTGTAGGGGCACTGGCCTCCCCCATGACTTCCCCATCTGCCCCTGCAGGGAACTGTGTGGTGCTGAAGCCGTCAGAAATAAGCAAGAGCACGGAGAAGGTCCTGGCCGAGATGCTGCCCCAGTACCTGGACCAGGTGAGGGTGGCCTGCTCCCTTCAATGCCCAGTGTTCCCACACCCCTGCCCCTGCCAGCTGAGGAGGTCCTGCTGTCCCCTGAGCCACCTGTCCGTCTTGCAGAGCTGCTTTGCTGTGGTGCTGGGTGGGCCCCAGGAGACAGGCCGGCTGCTGGAGCACAAGTTCGACTACATCTTCTTCACAGGTGAGGGTGGCCCTGGCCAGGGTCCTGGGTTGTGTGGCATGGGGGACAGCAGAGAACAGGGTGGGGTGAAGGGAGAAGAGATGAGGGACAAGGCCAGGGCCAGTGGTGGGAGCATGACCCGGATGACAATTGAGACTCTAAGGGTCTCAGAGAGATTGGATCTTGGGCAGCAGGGCTGGAGGCAGATCCCAGGCAGGGCAGGATTGGAGCCCTGAAGGGTCTCTCTGGAAAGAAGTGGAGCAGGAGTCAAGTGCCTGGACCATCCGGCCAGGCCTGTTAAGGATGGGGGTCTCCTCACCGTGTCCCTAGGGAGCCCCCGCGTGGGCAAGATCATCATGGCTGCTGCCACCAAGCACCTGACACCCGTCACCCTGGAGCTGGGGGGCAAGAACCCCTGCTACGTGGACGACGACTGCGACCCCCAGACCGTGGCCAACCGTGTGGCCTTGTTCCGCTACTTCAACACCGGCCAGACCTGCGTGGCCCCCGACTACATCCTGTGCAGCCCCGAAACGCAGGAGCGGCTGCTGCCCGCCCTGCAGAGCACTATCACCCGCTTCTATGGCGACGACCCCCGGAGCTCCCCATACCTGGGCCGCATCATCAACCAGAAACAGTTCCAGCGGCTGCAGGGACTGCTGGGCTGTGGCCGTGTGGCCATCGGTGGCCAGAGTGACGAGAGTGACCTCTACATCGGTGAGTCCCACTCTCCCTGCCACAGCTCCCCCAGGGATAAGGCCCTTCCACGCTAGAGGGGCCACAGCCGGCCCGAGTCTGGGCCCCCTCCCGCAACCACCGCCCCGCCGCTAGAGCCCAGCCCGGGTCCACGGTTCCCAGCGGCACAATTCCAGGACGCTGACGCTCCACGTCGCTGTGGTCCTGAGCTTGTGACTCCTTGACTCCAAACTCTGGTCCCA